TCATAGCGAAGATGTAATCTGTAATAAAAGCTCTCGGGTTTTCGTAAAAAAAAAGCCCACAATGGAAAAAAAAAGGAGAGTTTAGAACTATTTAAATTACGGTCTTGCTTTGTGTCATCACATTTCCCATCTAGATTTATTAATTTCAAAGCCAGTAGTAAATAACAGCATTCACACTCACCCTTTCATACACGAAATTCCTTTTATTTGATGTGCACATAGTAAATTAATTGATATTCTCTTGTACGTATGTCGTTTTTTTTTTTTTTTTTTTTTTTTTGGTAACTGCTTTTAAACCCGTCTAAAATAAAGCTTTAAGGATTCATTCCATTTTTTGTCACATTTACTCGTGTTCATAAATTTGCTTTTGTCTACTGCATGTCATTTATCATATCTTACAGCGATACATTTCCTATCAACGTTTTCCAAATCCAATAAACTTTTCATACATCAATCTAAAACTAACACTTTGAGAGTACATCCTTTCCTAAATCGTTCACAATAACTACTACTCTATCGTAGTTAATGTCACTACTTCCCACTGGCATTTACAGGGTAAAAAGGCGGCGCAGGTGACAGTAATGATGATAATGATTGCTGTTTTTTTTGTCATAATGATCGTGGCATCCCCGCGTGGAGTGTCAGAAGGAGCTCTGGATATGTTAATAGCTGTAGGTATGTGGACTGTGCTTTGCTATTCATATATACGTGTGACTGTATCCACACACACACACACACACACACACACACACACACACACACACACACACACACACACACACACACACACACACACACACACACACACACACATTATATTATATCACATTAAATGTGTATATATACATACATACATACATATATATATATATATATATATATATATATATATATATATATATATATATATACATATATACATATAATAAAGGGTGTGTATATATATATGTATATATATATGTATATATATATATATATATATATATATATATATATATATATGTGTGTGTGTTTGCATATATTTCCTTTGATTTTTTTTTCACTTGAGAAAAAATATCAGTGTATTTTTGTAAAAGATTATTTTTTTCTTTTTACAGCTGTAAATGCCGTCTTTGTCCTCGTCTGTTACAAAATATGCAAATGTACAGGTGGAATTCAAGAATCACAGGAAGAGAACCAACAGAACGCCGGTGAAATACCAGCCGGGCGTCCAGCGTCTCCACCCCAGGCCCCGAACAGGGCTCCAGAGTCCCGTCCAGCCACTCACACCTACACACTTTTAAATTCCTTGACAGTTGGAGGCAACAACTCGTACCCTGGCAGGAAAGACTTCTATCCCTCAGGCTCTCCGAGGCAGACGCCACCTACAGGAGCCTCCTCTTCGGCCTCCTACAACCCTTATAACCCTTACCCAACGGCAATTGATTCCCTCCCAAGGGCCCCTGAGGAAGAGCCACCGCCTTCATACGAACAGATACATCCCTCAGGACACATTCCTGCCGGAGGTCCGACAGCAGGGACGCCAATTGCTAGCGCCCCCGAACTGGATCCTCCACCTCCCTACGCTCCTCCTCCTTATGAAAAATGAAGCCATCGTGATTTTTTATTTTTTTTTATGGAGCTGAATAAAAGTAAGGCTCTTCTAACCTGCCTAACTGTTATGCATTTTAATATCTTAATTGAGATGAAATAATTTTTGATGATCCTACCCTTGGCTAAGTATATAAGTACGAGATTAAACAATTTTAAATGGCCCTGGGTAAGATTCTGGCTTTCTCCTTCTCCCGAGGCCCCTGTAATACCAAGAGTTCCCTTAGGTGATTTTCATCATTTGTCGTATAAGTTCAGTGGATAGAGTAACGCATTCTTTGGTCTTAGTTCTAATCAATTTTCTTTAGCCCCTGAATCTCTTATTTTTCAGCCGTCCCCAATCTGCGCCATGGTGTGCATCAGAGGCAGGGAAAGAGCCATGTCCTAGTACGCTGGCTCAGTGCGGACTGGTAGGGGTCCGTGTAGTCCCCTTCTACAAGACGCGGTGACGCACGTTAGAAGAATTCTCTTTACGTCCTCCTAACCGCAGGGAAATTCCTCTCTTAGTTACCACTTTTATTTCTCTCCTTTCCCTTTAAACCATTCAATTTCCCTCCTATTCCTCTTCTCTCTTAGTTACCACTCTTATTTCTCTCCTTTCCCTTTAAACCCATTCAATTTCCCTTTCCTCTTCTCTCTTAGTTACCACTCTTATTTCTCTCCTTTCCCTTTAAACCCATTCAAATTCCTCTTAACCACTCTATTCTCTCCTTTCCCTTTAAACCCATTCAATTTCCCTCTTATTCCTCTTCTCTCTTAGTTACCACTCTTATTTCTCTCCTTTCCCTTTAAACCCATTCAATTTCCCTCTTATTCCTCTCTCTCTTAGTTACCACTCTATTTCGTTTCCCTCCCTCTTCTCTCTTAGTTACCACTCTTATTTCTCTCCTTCCCTTTAACCCATTCAATTTCCCTCCTATTCCTCTTCTCTCCACCTTATTTCTCTCCTTTCCCTTTAAAACCCATTCAATTTCCCTCCTATTCCTCTTCTCTCTTAGTTACCACTCTTATTTCTCTCCTTTCCCTTTAAACCCATTCAATTTCCCTCCTATTCCTCTCTCCCTCTCTTAGCTACCTTTATCCTTTATCCTTAGTTATCTTTTATCCACTTTATCCTCTTTCCATTTCCCTTCTTTCTTAGTTACTACTATGAGAGGAAGAAAAGTTGTTAACTGTTTAGAAATATCTGAATATACCATTCATGAAATACAAAGAAAAAATCAGTTAGAATGTGAAGCAGTCTAACACGATATAAAAATATATAATCCATGGCACAAAACTGATTAAACAATATGGTACTTAACTCATGTGCGTGCGCGTATGTGAGCTTGCATGCTAATTATTTTATATACTAATTAATGGTATATTCTCTCGTCGAGTCCATTGTCATGAATATTTGTAGTAATCCTGTATTTTACACAGGATTTATGTGGATGAGTTAAGTAAACATACTTATGATTCTATAAGTATTATGAACATCTACCGTAGCTCAATAAATCTGATTTATTTTCGTGTGTTATCTAGCATTATTTTAAGACAAATAAATGAATATTATATATATGTATTTTTTCTGTCCCTATATACCGACGCCTAATCAAACAAGACAAAAAACATTAAGAAAGTATTACATTGGATAAGTGATAAAGTAAATACAATAAAGAGAATCAGCAAGGAAGAATAGAAATCAGCGATAAAATAATCAATGAAGCCAGTTAGCAAATACGTAAATAAAGAATATATTATGAATAAGTATTGGACATAAGACGATAAGCATAAACATTAAAAATCAGCAATGGGAAAATAGACACAGGGAACAAACAATAACTTGCATGAACAATTTTTAAAATTATAAAAACAATAATTATGAAAAATGTAATTCAATCACATCACCTCTACTTGATTGCAAATCAAGTAGAGATACAAAGAAATCATTAATTAAGCATGAATATCAAATCATAAATTCCTGACATACCAACAGGTGTTAGATACCAAAAAAGGCTTACATTATTCCAAACACATATTATGAACTCATGAACTCTCTCGATAGGAGTATTTGGAGAGGCCGGTACCTGTGCAGAAGGACCAAGCTACGAGTCTTCAAGGCCCTGATAATGCCAGTTTTGCTATACGGTGGTGAAACCTGGACATTATCCTGCGCCTTGGAGTCACGTCTTGATGCCTTTTGTAATAGGTCCTTGCGCCGGATCATGGGGTACTGTTGGCGGGACCACGTGTCAAACCAACGGTTGCACCGTGAGACTGGCACAGAACCTATTGTCTGCACAAACCGCGATCGCCAACTCAGGATATATGGCCCACCTGGCTCGCTTCCCTCAGGATGATCCCGCCCACCAGGTTGTTTCTGTTCGAGACAGCCTTGGGTGAAGGAGGCCTGTGGGACGACCCAGGAAGTCATGGCTTGGGCAGATCGATCAAACCTGTCGTGAGGAGCTCGAGATGGGCCGAGTCCCTGCCTGGCGGCTTGCCATGAGGGACCCTCGCAGGTACAAGCAAAGGGTGGATGCGGCTATGCGCCCCCGTCGGCGTTAGCTCCATGATGATTGCGAGACCAACACGCATACCAACTGAGCTACACAATCCACATAGGGATTGTGCAACTAGGCGCTAGCTATCTTTCATATAGAGATTACCCATCTACTCATAGTAAGTAGAAAAGTTTTATGGGGAGTGCCCACTGGGAGCGTGTGTAAATCTTTGCTATACAGCCTTTTTTCAGCCAGGGACAGATGTATGGAATGGTATTGTTTACATCGCTCGGCCACGCAAAAGTCTCGCCCTCGAGCTATATTCAACACATGAAAACAACAATATCCGCTGAGGTCAACATGTGCCAGAGTAGCGAATGTTATAAAGGATTCACAGCGAGATGTCAATAAGCACGGGAGGGTCACATCATGTTCAGAGGCTGAAATATTAGCATACCGGTTTAGCAAGTGAGCAAGGAGGATGATGATATAAAAAAGGCCAGAAAAAAAGATAGCATAATAAGAACAATTCACAGGAAATGGTATACTATGTTATATATTATTTTAATAGAGATCATATTGTAAAGAGAAAAATAAATGAACAAGAATCACATATCTTCTGGCTAAATATGGAAGCAATTATACATGAAGGCAATTGGACCTAAACTTAATTCTAAACCTTTGCGTCTCAAGTGCGTCAGTCGTATTTATTGTGTGAGCAGAGTGTGCACAACTCTGAGCGGCTAGTCCAAGATTCCTTGTTTACAGCCATGAGTTGGGCTCAGAATTATCTTGTGGTGATATATTAATTATATTAAGCATGGTATCTGCAGTGCATTTACATTATTTTCAGTAAAGTGGACTTCATCAGTTAGTTACATGTTACACATTCATCAGTACCATAAAGATGAAGAAGCACAAATACCTGCATTACTGAGGACAAGATGTCGAGCTTCGAGCTGACTTCATGAAGGCAAGTTAAGTTCATTTATAAGTCAAAGGGAGACGATTCGTAGCTCAAGTAGGTCTTTGCGAACCGCTACTTATGTCTCCCAATCTTGATTTTCCCCTTGAAAAAAAAAAACCCGAAAATAAATGAAATAACAGAGTTAAAAACTGCAAATTAATATAAAAACACCGACTAGTAGCACCTAACATCCCTCCCTCCCAGTTGCTTTCTTTTTCTCTTAATATCTCGGCCCATACATGTATGATCTGGATCGATAATAAATTAGATGGACCATGGATATCCGACACGGCACCGAAGGAGGCCTAACTGTGGCACGGTCGCCTTAGAATGCCGTGGGAGGAACGTCGCTGGAAGATCGCTTGCCAAGACGCCCATAGATCCAGTGAAGAACTCCCAGGGAGCGGCTGTCGGAGGAAACAAGCACGGTCGAGGAAGCTACAGCTGACGGTGACATGCACGCTAGAGGAAGCAATTGCAGCGACACGTTGACCGGAGCAACTGGCCGCCCTATACATGTCCACTTGTAGAATTGGTGGGTGTGGAATATCTACCCGAGAGACCAGTTGGCGTGGGTTACCCGCCCAAGGACCTGGTAGGCACTGGATCTCTGATGGAGGAGGTGCCTGCTGAGGACGCGACGAAGTTGCATGCCGAGGACGAGACGGAGGAGCTGCCTTCCAAGGACCCGTCGGAGGAGCTCCCTGTCGATTTCGCAACAGAGGCCTGCGCCTGGGGAGGCGAGGACACCCTGGAGGAGCAACCTGCCGAGGACCCCATGCGAGACCCGCCGTTACATGTCCGCTTGTTGAATTGATAGGTGTGGGATGTTTACCCGAAAAAAAAAAAGTTGGCGTGGATACCCGCCAAGGTCAGGTAGCCACTAAACCGTCTGAGGAGCTGCCCGCCGAAGATCTACCGGAGGGGCTGCCTGTGCGTTCCGAGGACACCCAGAATAAGCTGCCGACTAAGAGCACCCTGGAGGAGCTGCCTGCCGAGAGCACCTCTGTCTACCGCCTGTACTTTTCCTGTGTTGTAAATTGTAAGCAATGCCTTTGTAAGTAAAGCCTGTTAAGTGTTTCCTCCGGTGCGTTTCTGTTAACCTGCCCGCTCTGCTTCTTAAAACGAAGCCTGGCAGACCCCAAGGGACCCAGCCTCCCCGGGCGCCGAGGGGGGCGTGGTGAAAGGTAGACCGTTCTCTCGTCTGCTATGTGTCCCATCATCTTGGAAACACCGCTGCTGCCCTGCGTGTATGTGTGTATGGGGTATATATGGGAGAGTAAGACTTATATAAGAGTCAGAGCTAATCATATATTAATACAGATGAATAGTATATATAGTACAATATATATAATACGAATATGAGCATGAGATATAAGTAATATGAAGACTCTTATAGATATATGATAGAGCAAGATCATATATTATGGATAGTACAATATCTAAAGGAGTATAGCAGATAGAGCAATAAAGATATATATATATACATAGAATATTAAGCCATGATAGAAAGCTAAGCAATGAATGAATAGATAGCGAAATGATAGATAGATATACGAATGATGATATGACAGAATATATTTATATAGAGAGTCAATAGTAGAGAGAATAAAAGATGATAGCATAGAGATGAGAGACGTAAGACGATATAATGAGGAGATGAACATGATGGGATGAGATAGAAGCAAGAACGACACACACACAGAGATGCGAGGGTAGGTGGTAGCAAGTGATGATGATTATATAGATAGTAAGAGAGATATAGTAATATATATATATAAATACATATTATATATATAGATATAATATATATATATATATATATTATATATGTGTGTGGGGAGAAGTTGTGTGGTTGGAGAGAGAGAGCAGATGGGGATGTAGTGTGTTGCGAGAGAGAGAGAGATGTGAAGGCAGCGATGGTAGTCATGGGTATGGTAGTGTTGTGGACGTGTGGATGGTGCAAAGGATAGTGTAATTATAGTACTGGAAGCAGAGACAGTAGAACATACATAATCTATCGTATCGAATCTATCGTAATTCTATCTATCGAGAGTATAGTAATAGTATATATAAATGTACATATAACAATTATAGCAATTATATGGTGGTATGTGTGGTGTTGTGTGTGTGTGGTGGATTGGTGTGACCAGACGAGATACGGC